ACCATCAGCTGGTGGGATGGGGATGGGCTGAGTCATAAGTGAAAGTAGAGACCAAATCGGGAGGAGTTTAGTTTCCACAGACAGCTTTGAGGTGCCAAGAAGCCATATTACATTCCCACATTCTGTTTCCTTCATGTGGAGGAAAGTGGGTGAACCCTAGAGTTTCCACAGCATGAATTTTGTTCTGCTCCACCAAGAGGGCACACAGGGGCAGTGTTACCTCTGAGTCAGGGAGGCAGTCGGCAAGGGAGTGAAAACAAAGATAGAAATCTGATTGGTGGATAGGGACGGAATTCTGAGGGGCAGGAGGGTGCTGAGGACAACAGGGGCTTCTGGTGCACAGGGGTGGGTGACAAGCCATACACAGGGGTGGGTGACAGCCAGCCATAGGCCTAGTGTAGTGGAGAGAGTGGAGATGAGGGTGAGGTGTACGTTACAGCCGTGCTGTGGAGAGAACAATGATAGGCCCAGCAGCCCTCCTTTACCTTGTAGTTGGGGAGATACGAAAGAGCAGTAAAGGGGACTGGCTTGCACCCCCATCCTCACACAAGAGCAGACTGGGCAGCAGTTAGCATTCTCAAGGGTCCAGTTTACCTGAAGCCTAATTGCCAGGGTCTCTGGCCAGCCCTCTTCTGGGTCCTATAGTTCAACACGAGGATGCACTCACACAGCCAAGCCCAGCAAGGAGCAAGACAGCCAGGGAGCTGGCATGGAGAGCGGCACTCCTCGTGGCTGAGCAGCCATGCGTTAGCAGATGCTGGGCATGTGTGCGAATGTTTATGCTTCCCCAAGTCTGGGGAGTCATTGTGGCAAACCCAGCTTGTCTTCCCAGCCGTGCTTTTGACAATGACAGTGATCCTGGTATGGTCGTGTCTGGAGAAAAATTCTGCCAGCACACTGTCATCTACTATGGTCAAGCCCATGTGGGGGAAGGACTGGAGGCTGTGCTGAAAGAGAGGTTAGCAACAGTGGCTGTAGACCTTGGTCCCTCGGGAGGGAAGTCTTCCGACGACTATGCAGTTATTTGGTCCACATGGGTGGCTTCTCTGTAACTGTGTGACCATAGACAATTTCCTGTCACTTCGGCCAGGACGGGGGTGGGGAATGGATCGCTCCAGCTCAGTACCTACTTCTGCCATCAGTACCAGCCTGTGGCTTCTCCCCTTTGGACTCTAGTTCCTCCATCTGTGAAGCTAAAGCTAACTCACTCATTGGAGGAGTTACAGACAGCCCCTGAGACTGGCTGTCCGAGATCCTCACAACAAAAATAATAACTAAGCATAGAGTCTCCAGTTTTTGGGTGGTCTCTCCTGTTTGGAAGCCCACACCGTCCCTGCAGCTATGCCTTGGGCTGTGTATGTCGGAGGGTGGGGTGCGGCTTTCCACCTTGGATATATGGGTGTCAGTGAAATCCTTACTCTGATGGTAAAATGCGCCACCAGGCACACCATGCTCAGAGCTGTCTTCCCACAGGCGACAGGTGGGAGGCCTCTGGAAGCAGCGTTTCTCATTTCCCCAGAGGAAATCTGCGACATCAAATCACTGAGGGACTGGGGGGGGGAGGGAGGCGAGGAGGCAGGCAGCCTTTCCCACAGAGTGAGGGAAAGCAAGAGCTGGGTCTTGCAAGCAGAGAGGTTTGCGAACTGGTAGCTGTCACAAGGCCATTGCTAGTGTCTTACCTGAGTCAACAGCTCTCCCCAGGGAACAAATATCTCAGATTACCCTACTTATTTTATAAGAGACATCCAGACTGAGGCTGTAGTTCCTTGCATGTGGTGAGGACAGAACCTGAATGCCACATGGCCACATTATCTTCCCAGAGCAGCTTACCAAAGGATATATACTGACCTTTTTTCTTATCTTATAAAACACCACCACTAAAGCCATCCTGCCACTTACAAAATGAAGCCTTCCAGAAACTGGATGACAACATCATTCACCTTATTAGGAAGCTGGGCCAGCCCTGAGGTGGGGCCCTGGGGCCCTGAGCTCTGGTCAAAGCTGCTGGGTGTGGGTGAAGTAGAGTAGGGGGGGTGGCTGACCTATGTTCAGATGAGTGAGTCAGCTGAAGGTTTCATCTGGTTCTCACCACTGTCACCCGCCTATAGCTTTAGTTTTCTGGACCTCAGTTTCCCCATCTATAAAACTGACTGACCAGTTTACTTCCTGTGTTATTTGCAGACCAAACAAAGCATTTTGTATGTCACCACATGTCCTTTCCTTGGGGAAAGCACGTAGAAATTACTTTGTATTTACACACATACACAACTTTACTCTAAATAGTGCAACTATGCACTCTCAATGTTAACAGAAACAGAACAAGGTATCCCTGTGACCTGCTCACAAGTGGCTCAAAGATGTCAATTCAGGGTCATAGTTCCTATGTATGCAAATACTCAACAATACCTTGTTTTTCTCTTAATATAGACCTTCTGCAACCTCCAAAACATTTTCTCGATCTTAACAGATATAAGTAATGAGTGATGCCCACACAGAAAAAGAAACAAGTGAGACAACATTCCCAGAAGAGAGATCTGAGCTGACAGTAACTAGGAGTCAGGAAGATGGAGGAGAAGCGAGTCTGAAGTGCAGGGATTAGGCTGAAAGAGAAGCCAGGCAGGGAATTTTCAGAAGTAAAGGAAATGGGGAGCTGAGAGCCTATGACAAAGTAAGGACCCAGATAAAAAGGTCCTTTTCCTGCAATTCCTACCCTTCCCTTCCTCCTGGAGCCATCAGCACACAGGTATATCCTTCCCAGAAATCCCAGCTCCTAGAAAATTCTTCATTGTTCTTCTGGAAGGGTTCTTGGGCAATCCTGGAAGCTACCTTAGATGTCTTTTCCAGACCAGGGTGGACAAACTTCCTCTGTAAAGGCCAGAGGGAAAGTCACTCAGGTTCCGTGGGCCATCTGGTCTACCTCAACTTCTCAGCTGTGTCTTCTACCTCCTTAACCATCACGAACAATCCCAAAATATACAAACAGGCTGGTTAGTTCCAATAACACTTTATTTATGGACAACAAATTTTGAATGTAAAGTACTATTCACAAGTCACAAAATGTTATTCCTTTGTGTTTTTTTTTTCTTTTTCAACCATTTAAAAATATAAAACCTATTCTAAAGTCACGGGCTGTGCAAAAACAGGTGGTCCACCAGGTCTGGCCCTAGACTACAGTTTACAGATTTATTCTGATTGTTCAAAGCTATTCTGTGGACTAGCAGCCCCAGGCTCCAGCTGCACCTGGAAGCTTGTTGAGAAAGAATATCTTCTTTTTTCAGCTCTACAGATGCAAACCCTGGATTTAACCCAATCACCATGACTCATGTGTACTTTAAGTTATAAAAATACTGACACTGAAGGGCCATCTCAGACATTCTAATTTCACAGCAATGGGATGTAGCCTGGACACCAAGCTTTCAAAACTCCACACCCAACCCCTGGTGGTTCTAAGGTACAAGTTTTCAAGTACTTAAAACCCAGACTGTCCTGGGGACTTCCCTGGCTCTCAGAACATCTGGTCCACTCCTCTATGACAAAGCATATCACTGTGTAAGGATCACTATCAGTCATTCAGTCCCCCTGGAACCAATGTCCCACTGGATCCTAGGTTGTAAAGATCTCACAGATGGCTCACTCCTTAGGGCTTGGTCTTCCACTCCTGAATGAGCAAAAGATGCTTTGGAGTGCTGAGTATTCTTCCCTGTAATTCCCCATCTCCATCTCCAGTACCACTGCCCCAGAAGGCAGGGAACACAGGAAGATGGCCTTCTGTCCCAAGGTCAGTCAGCTCTCTTTAAACCCTGAGCTTTTCCCTCTTCCTGGGGCTCTGAGTCCTCAGGATGGTACCCACATCCTAGCTTTCCAAGGATTCTGCATAAAGGGGACAAATAAAGGCAGGCCAACCTTTCAGCAAATCTCCTAAGCCCCAAGAACTTACATACTCTGGTAATCCTTGCCCTCCCCTATCTAGAGTCTCCACTTCCTTAGACTCCAAAGTCTTCCTCTGCTTTTTACATTCCCAGGACCTGGTATCAGCCTGGAGAAATGTGAAGAGGAGGCATACACCAGTTTGGAGCAACCAATGCCTTAGCCAGCTTGACTAGAAGTGCTAAAGACCTTCAGAATCCTAAGTGGGACGACTGGAGGGACACGGGGCTGTCCTTGTGTCCTCTTGGATGGCCACTGATGTCGTTGCTACATGGGCCATCTACCCCTGGTCTAATCCTGAGTGTCTTAACACTGAAGCCATGAAGCGAGCCTGCACCCTGCCGATAGAACCTGGGCTCTCAAAACCTCTCCCTCCAAATGACAACCTCCCACCTCCTAGAGACACTGCTGTAAGAATCAGAAGCCCAAACCTTGGAAATTCTGAAAAGGTAGACTTAGAAAAATCAGTCCTCCTCATACTTCTGAGAAAAATCTGTGCTCAGGGAGCAGAAAAGAGCCACTCAGAGTGGAGGCAGATGGAAGACACCTCTATCCCTCCCTTTATATCCTCTACCTCCTACTCCACCACAGTGTTCCTTCCTTGGTGCCCCCACAGCTGGGGTAGGGTGCTGGGCGAAGAAAAAGGGTCTGCGGCTCCTAGAAGGTGGAAAACCACAAAGGGTTAGGCACACAGGCCCAGCTTAGCCTTTGGCTAAGAGCAGCACTACAGTGTTGTGCCCATCCTTTAACTGCCCTCGTGCCCAGCCAGCCCAGACCAGCAGTGACCACACGGGGCAGGTGTAAACTCTCCCCTTCCCAGCCTAGAATGATAGAAACAGCTATGACTGTTTCCCTTTCAATAAATGACTGAGCCATCTTATGCCAGGAGCTGAATTAAGAGCTGTGTTTCTCTGAGGTCCCCCTGACACACTAATCACTTAGGAATTTAGACCCTCCCTTATAAAAACCCCCAAAAGGACTCTGCCTCAATATAGCCTGTTGTTGGAGAGACCACATGGGGACAATCAAAACCAGGGCTGAATTTCTTTTCTTTTGTGACCCTGAGCCTCAGTTTTATTACCTGTAAAATGGGGTTGCCAGACTACCAGGGTAGCTGGAAAGGAAAAGGGAGATGTGAAAAGGGCTACTCCACAGGTGACAACTATGAGTTAGCTGCCCCACCAATGGGCTTTGTCACCTCTCCTTCCTCCCCAAGCCTCAGGAAGCCCAGCTTTCCCACAGAAGGAAGCAGGAGAATATCTCCTGGAATGTGGCAAGGCGCCTTGGAGCTGAACCCTGCCTTGCAGCCCTTCTTTAATTAGCTCTCAACTAAAAATAGCTGCCCCCACTCCCTCTGGAGCTGCACACCTCCTTCCTGGCCTGGCGCTAGGGTGTGCAGTAGTCACTCTGGGGGTAATCAGCCTGAGACAACCCACAGCATGGAGGGTGTGCTGAACAGGAGGCTTTATTGAAGGGGGCACAGAAGCAGATGTGGGCTCATGCCAGACCATTCTGATAGCCCCAAGTGGCCCTGTGGCTCCTGTACTCCCCAGACCCCCTGCACCTGGACAGCTGGCACCCAAGGAGTCTTACCCAGTCTTGACAAAGGTCTGCTCAGGGGAGGGCTGGAAGACACAGGCAGCTCCTCTGAAACCACAGACATGCCCACTGACATGTCTACCCAATGGTTTTGTCCATCCACAACCCAGTCTGTCCCTGTCAGGGAGCCCAGCCGTCACTTGCAGCTTTGTAGCCGGGTCCTATGATGTTTCTCCTCTGTCAGCAGGGGAATGAAGGTATCACTGTGCGAGAGCTTCAGCCGGCTACCCCAGCTTGGCCCCTCCCTGGCTGCAGGCTCTGGGGGTAGGGTATCTAGGTCGCTGCGAGAGCCCCCGGGCTTGCCTTCTGCACTGCTGGAGTTGAGCTCCATCAGCTCCAGCTCATGCTTGGCCGCCGTCTCTAGGACACGTTGTTTGTTGTAGTACCTGACAAAGTTGTTAATGATGGGGTGAATGGGTAGGGCAATGGCAATTACACCACACAAGAAGCTGATGGCCGCGTTGAGCTTGCCCAGAGTGGTCTTGGGGTAGATGTCACCATAGCCCACTGTGGTCATGGTGATGATAGCCCACCAGAAGGACTGGGGGATGCTCTTGAACAGAGTTTCAGGGTGACTCTGCTCCATGGTGTAGCCTAGTGCGGAAAAGACGAAGATGCCCACGGCCAGGTACATAAGCAATAGCCCCAGTTCCTTGAAACTGCGCTTGAGGGCGTAGGTGAGGGTCTGCAGGCCGGAGGAGTGGCGGGCCAGCTTGAAGATGCGAGCTATGCGCATGATCCGCAGGGCCTGCACAGCCTGCTGCACGTTGGTCAGCTCCATCATTCTTGCGCCCAGGTGCGTGAGTGTGAGGCTCACATAGAAGGGGAGAATGGCCAGCACATCCACAATGTTCATGAAGGACAGGGCAAAGTGCAGCTTGTTGGGCGATGAGAAGAGGCGCAGCAGGTACTCCAGAGTGAACCAGCCGATGCAAGCAGTCTCCACGTTCTCCAGCGTCGGGTGTTCCACGCGGTTGCCTTCGGAGTCCACCACTTGCAGCTCGGGTATGGTACCCATGCACATGACCACGGAGGAGACAAGGATGAGTAGGAAGGATAGAACTGCCACCACCCGCGCAGGGCACGAAGACTCCGGCTTCTCCAGGAACTTCCAGACGCACTTCTGGCAGCGGCGCCAGCGGCCCTCCGCTGCATCTACACCCAGGTCGTCCAAGATGAGCTGCACCCTGCGCGCGATCTCCTCCAGCTCCTCGCGCTTCTCACTCAGATGGCTCTTGCAACAGTCATCCAGGAATTTGAGGTCCACCTTCCAGAAGTCCATCTCGTTCTTGAAGCATATGGGGCAGATACCCTTCTTCATGTGGACCTCCCCGAAATAGTATACCTCAATGACACACTTGAACGCGTCCGGGTCCCGGTCAAAGTAGAATTCGCGCTTGCCCGGGTCGTAATCGTCGCACAGAGAGAAGATGGTGTCATAGCCCCCCGCCAAGCAGTTGATGAGCTCTGCCAGCCGAGTCTCGGGGTACTGGCTGAGGAGGTCTCCGTAGAGCACCTGCCGCACGCCCCCCACATTTACCACGATCTCAATGTCGTCGCCTGCCACGGTGTCCTGGCTGCCTGGCTCAGGGAGGCTTTGCTCCTGGCTGCCTGGCTCAGGGAGGCTTTGCTCGGCAGATGCGTCCATGCTCCCCGTGGGTTCGCTTGCAAGTCCCGGTTCCATGAGCCCTGCCGCAGCCGCTGCCAATGCGAGGCCCTGGGGACAACAACCACCTGCCGGGAAAGGCACTCACAGCGGGCAGAGGCACACTGGGGCGCGCTGCAAGGGAGCCATGCACCCTGTGGCGGGGCTGTACACGGGCATCCAGGAGCTCTGGCGGGGGACTCTGCGGCCGGTGGCCTCGGATGTTGGGGACACTCACCCACGGGCTCCTTCAGCTCGGTCCAGGACAGGACGAGGTTTTTCTCTCAGGCAGCGTCTTCCTTCCCGGGGTGAGCGGCAGCGGCAGGTCAGCCCCAGAGCAGTGCGATCCGGGCTGTACAGAGAGCTAACTTGGACTGGCTTTGCAGGAGCAGGTCCGAAACACAATAGGAATTCCAGCCTGACGTCAAACGCTTTGCTACTGTACCCTCTTCTGGTGAGATTTCGCACCGCACGCGCTGCAGCTGCCCAGGAATGAGTTAACCCTTGGGCAAACCTGCACAGCTGCTGCCACCGTGCCACCGGGCGTCACCCGCTGATCTGTGGGGCTCAGAGGTTAGGACCAAGAGCTTTAAGGATAGCCCGGCTCAAGCTGCCAAGTCCCTCCTGAGCAGCTAGGTGAGCGGGGGAAAGAGGACCTTCGTCTGTTGCTCACCAAGTCCCTCAAGGGGCAGCCGCCCACTCCTTGGGCACATCTCTTCTGTCCTAGGCATCCGTAGGCCCTGGAAGAGTCCCTGACACTCCTGCGCACTGTCCTGCTACTGATGGTGTGACTTTGTCCTCTACCCCTACAACTTGTCTCAGCCTTCACAATAAAGAGGAAATTGCTTCAGGTCACAAGATGGAAAGGGAGGAGAGTTTAGCCATCCCTTAATCCAGGGTTTTCATGCTAGCCTAGCTGCTAGCTTCCAGTAGGCCAATACCATCACCACTAGCTCCCAGAGCCTTGGATTCCTATGGCCCCTGTGCCCATAATCCCCTCTACTCTGAGAGAAGTCAGTTCTTCCAGTTGGATGCCCCTATACTCCCTCTCATCTTTTCTTAGGCAGAGAGCCTCTCGGGTTCAGATCCAGGGTCTTAACCACAGCGTTATCAACCTGGATCTAGCTATGGCCTGGAATTGGATTTAAAACATAAACTGGGCAGAGATGTAGCTCAATTGGTAGAGTTCTTTGCCTAGCACGCACAAGGCCCTGTGTTTGCTCTCTGGTACTACAGAAACAGGGCTGCTTGTCTAAGATCCAAGCTTTCCTCATTTAGGAAAGGGAGGTAAGAAGATCAGAAGTTCAAGGATATCCTCTAGAGTTGGAAGCTATCCTGGGCTAGGAATTGTTTGTCTGTCTGTCTCTCTGTCTCTCTGTCTCTTCTCTCTCTCTCTCTCTCTCTCTCTCTCTCTCTCTCTCTCTCACACACACACACACACACACACACACACACACACACACACTATAAGTTGGAGGGATGAACAGGCAGAGCCAGTAAGAGGGGACAGTGAAACTATTCTGTTTGATTGTGTGGTGGTAAACATGTCATGCACACTTGTCAAAGCCCACAGAATACACAAAAGAGGGGGTCCTAAAGGACACAGTAGCCATGTGGGTGATTACAGATGTCCACCCCTGAAATTTCCTCCGTTGTAACAAGCATTCCACTCCCACAGGGATGTTCACAGTGGAGGGAGGGAAGTGCTGATCATAGGGGAAGCTGGAGAGACAGGGGTCTGGGAAATTGCAGTTTTCTGTACAAATTTTCTGTGACTCTAAAACTGCTCATTGACAAAGACTATTAAAATGTATTCTGTAAGCTGGATTTCTTAGCTGCTCAAGACCATGCCTGTTCATGAATCAGGAAACTGGTATACTGGGCCACTAGCAATATTTTCTTTAATGGGATGATATATGATATAAAAACCAGATGCAGTAGAATACAGTACACAAAGTATTACTGGGGAAATATCTTAACAATTTTGATTTTATTTCCATTTAAAAGCACCAGTCTATGATGTGTTGCTCAGAATAGGAAATTGAGGCTGAGAAAGGTCGGATAGCAGTAACAGTTAACACTAATATAAGAGCACTGTACACCTAGAACTCTGGGTGCCTTACATGTATGCATATGTATGTATATGTGTGTATGCAAGTATATATATATATATGTGTGTGTGTGTGTGTGTGTGTGTGTGTGTGTGTATGTGTGTGTGTGTGTTTACTCAGTCCCCAGCTGCTCTCTGAGAAAATAAGATATCAAGTAACTGGCACCATCACCCACTGCATTTGGGATTCAGGCTGCTAGGCTCCAAGGCCCCTTTCCTTGGTAGGCAGCAAGCCCACCATCTCCACACCCTTGGGTCTATATCCTCTGTGCTAGTGCTCCTCAGCCCTCTCCTGTTCTTCTATGCACCAGCAGAGTCCAGTGCAAACAGCATCTAAGTCTAAGATTTATGGACTCAAAAAGGCCATTGTCGCTCACATGTTCAAATATTTACTGAGATCCTGTACATGTATACATGCCACACCCACCCTAGGTAAAGATTGAATTATAATCTACTGGATATATATATGTGTGTGTGTGTGTGTGTGCGTGTGTACTATATATAAATTATATATATCTCACATCACAGTTAGGGCAAAACTTAACAAGAGAGGAAAGAATATACAGGGTGATGCTTCCTGACTTCCCCCGGAAGTGATGCTGTCAGCTGGTTGGAAGAGGGAGGTGCAATGCAGAAGCAAGGTGTTAAGGCCTGGGATCATACCTCAAATGGGGGAGTGCTTGCCTAGCATGCAGGAAGCTTTGGGTTCCATCCTCAACAGTACATGAAAGTTGGATCAGGTAGAGACAGGAGGATCAGGAGTTCAAGGCTATCCTTGGCTGCATAGGGAATTTGAAGCTAGCCTGGGATACAGTGCACCCTGTCTCAAAAACAAAGCCCACAGTGTACACAGTGTTCCCATGGTTTGATGTCACTGTGTCTGATGGAACCTCAGCCACCACCCTAGGTACCATCACTGGGAGGGGGGGTGTTTTAGGCGTGTGAAGGTTTGTAGACACCTCTGCAGCACAGAAGAGGTTAGGTGTTAAAGTTATTCTCCAGCTTTAATGTACAGTGGAGACTGAGTCATTGTGTTCTTACAACCCCTAAGAAAAGGGCACAGGCAGGGCAAATACAGACTTGACCAGGCAGGGCTGGGAATAAGAAGAAAGTGGGACCCTTCACTAGGGTCTCCAGAGGAAAATAAAGGCAGAGCAGAAGAACGAATTTAGGCCTAGGGAGCTGGAGTCCTCTGGCAGGCTCTGGATAAGAGTGGTCTCCACTGGTTTGGTTCCTGGATCTGGGATTATTTAGGCAGGGGAAATACCTGTCCCATGCCAATTTGGCCAAATATGCCAATGCTGTGAGGATTTACTAAGGAGATGGTAGGATAGAGCCTGGGACTGAATTGGTCATCCCCACTGGAAGGAATCTAAGAGTGGACTAGCCCTGCAGGGACAGTCTCTTCTTGGGCTTTGTGGTCACAGACGCAAAAGAGACCATGGAGGAACACTGCGCATAATTGGCTTGCTCTCCATGGCTTCCTCAGGTTCCTTTTTATGCAAGCCGGGGACCAGCCACCTGTCCCTAGGTAGCACCACCCACCCTGGACTGGGCCCTTCTTCACTAATTGTTAATCAAGAAAATGTCCCTGCAGACTTGTCTGCTCATCCGTCAATCTGGTGGAGATGTTTTCTCAGTTGAGGTCCCTTCTTCCCCCAGTGACCCTGGCTTGTGGAGTCAACAATAAAAATAACCAGCATAGTGGGTAAAGCTGTTCTCCTTGCAGCACTTGCTCACCCTGGAGTGCAAGGTTCAGTCTTATCAGGAATAGAAGAATAGAATTGTGCCAGATTTGGTGGGATCTGGTTGCCTGAGCAGCCTTCAGCTGCCCACTGAAACTCAGGTGGTGGCTGATACCTTCACCTACTAGGACCCAGACAGAAGACACAGGCCACCTGGCTTCTGAGCATTTTGAAATGTGGCTAGTGCCAGGGAGAAGCTAAGTGTTTTAGCACTATTTGATCTTACCAGCTTTATTAAGAAATAACTCATAATACATACTACTGCTCCTGTGTGTGTGTAGGCACGTCAATGTATGTATATGGGGTGTGTGTGTGTGTGAGAGAGCACACACACACACATGTTTGCACATGCATGTGCAGGTCAGATGTCAGCCCTGGGTATTGCTCTAGGAACCTGACCACTCCTACCCCTCACAATAACATCTCTCACTGCCATGACTCACTTATTAGGATAGACTGACTGGCATGGAGTCCCGAGGATCTGCTTGTCTGTGCCTCCCTGGAACTGAGATTACAGGCATGCACCACCACAGTAGGAATTTTGGCAAGGGTTTGGGGATTGAACTCAGACCCTCATGATTGTGCAGCAAGCACTTTGCTGACTGAACCATTCCATCCCCACCCCGTACCTTCCTCCTTTTAAGTAGACAACGGCTTTTAGAATATTCACATTTGTGTACCATCTCCACCAGGGAGTTTCACCACGTTTTCTGGTTTTGGTTTGGTTTGGTTTTGAGACAGGATCTCTCACTATGTAGCACTGGTTGTCCTGGAACTCAGACCCTCATGATTGTGCAGCAAGCACTTTGCTGACTGAACCATTCCATCCCCACCCCGTACCTTCCTCCTTTTAAGTAGACAACGGCTTTTAGAATATTCACATTTGTGCACCATCTCCACCAGGGAGTTTCACCACGTTTTCTGGTTTTGGTTTGGTTTGGTTTTGAGACAGGATCTCTCACTATGTAGCACTGGTTGTCCTGGAACTCTCTCTATACTCGGCTGGCTTTGAACTCATAGAGGTGCCTGCCTCTGCCTCCTGAGTGCTGAGATTAAAGGAGTACACCACCACACCCATCTCAGCTCAGTTTTGTCATTCCAAGCAACAGCCCTGGTGTGGAGCTAGAGAAATGGCTCACTGCTTAAGAGGGCTGGATGATCTCCCAGAGGGTGTAAGTTCAAGTTACCTGTAACTCCAGTTCCAGGAGACGTGGCACCCCCACACAGGCATAAATGCAGGCAAAACACCAATGTACATAAAAATAAATAAATTGAATTGAATTGAATAAATTAAATTGAATAAATAAATTGGATACAATTATTGGATACAGCTTTTTGTAACAGGTTGATTCTTTTCACTACAGAGGGCTGCCTTTTCTAGCCTCAGTGGGAGAGGATGTGCCTAATCATGCAGAGACATGATGCACCAGGGTGGGGGGAATACCTGGGATAGGGGGTACCCTCTCAGAGGCAAAGGAGAGGGAGGATGAGGGGAGAAACTCTGTGAGGGGGAACTAGGAGGGGAGACAGCATTTGGGATATAAATAAATTGATTGATAAAAAATAGACTATGTTAAGGCATTTATCAATTCTCGATCCTTTTTATGGCAGAATAGTGGTCATTATACCGATAAATCACACCTTATTTCCAGCCCTTTGTGACCAGTAGCCACTG